GTAGCACTACTTAGAAATTATGTTCTTTTTAGAGGAAATTTTAAAACCGTTTCCATAGCTCTTAACTATAGTCTCAGGAACTGGCAATTAATGTCTAGGTCCCTGCTCCCCACCAGGAGGCAGCACTGGGCCTGAGAGCAGCCCCACAGACTCTCCCAGTGGTTACCATCCTCCTTACTCATACAGCACTGAAACTTAGTTTTGGTATTTCTTTACATTTTTAAAAGGCTTAGTAAGTGTCCAATAAATGGTAGCTGTTCAGGATCTGTGCTTATAAGGGATATTACTTCTCACCGTTGATTCTTCTGTGTACCAGAGTCTTGTCGTTAATGATGACTTGTTCTATCATCTCAGATACCTTGTGTTTGCTATAACTTGGAAAATCTTAAGAGGAAAACCAAGACCTCACAGTTATTGAGTCACTGTGATGTGTCAAGCATGCAACTAGGTACTTCTCATAGGCTACTTCACAATGGAGGGAAGCAAATAGGCAAGGGGACAATAGTGTCACAAAACAGTAGGAAGATACTATACTAGAATTTTTAATACTTCTATTTTATTGTTGAGTAATCTGAGGCTAGGAGAGGTTAAATCACAGTAGAGCATAGATTTCCTTCAGACAGAATTCCAAATTCCATGCTGTATCAATTATATTATCAGCCCTGCCATAAAAACAAAAAGATTTGTTGAGAATGACTGAAGCCACAGTGGGGAATGCCTGAGACTGATTTCAGTGATGTAACCCCTGTGACGTGGTGACAGGGGAATTTAGGGTTGATGTACTTCACACTTCTATGGGAGATGGGGCTAAGTGCTGAGTGATCCTGAGTGATCCCACAGAAGCCCTCATAGGGGTGCTTTTACATGTACATGCACATACGTATAATCCACATTATATTCTCCAAAACATAGATAATTGCAATACAATTAATTTTTTAAAGCCTATCTGTGATATTTATCTTAAAACAATAATGGATCATATTTTATTTTTACTTTATAGGATCCCTGTCCTTTTCGATTTCAGTGAGATACTAATACATTTGTTTTGTTACAGAAAATGGGCCAATAAAGAATTGATTTTGCCTAAGTCTATTATTTTTATGACTTGAAATTGTTCTTCCACATTGTCTTTTTCCTTTCCTGGTTATAATATGCACAGCAGCCAGATGGCTGATGTGTAAACAGTTTGAGATGTGCTTCTTGGAATCATTTAGGATGGCCTAGATGGTCGGCAACCTGCGGCTCGCGAGCTACATGCAGCTCTTTGGCCCCTTGAGTGGGGGCTCTTGCACAAAATACCACGGCCTGGGCGAGTCTATTTTGAAGAAGTGACGTTAGAAGAAGTCTAAGTTTAAAAAATTTGGCTCTCAAAAGAAATTTCAATCATTGTACTGTTGCTATACGGCTCTGTTGACCAAAGAGTTTTGTCGATCACTGGCCTAGGAGGTTCTTGATAGCAGGCCCATCAGCTGTTGCTCTAGTCTTTCCTTCATGCTGAAGTATGTTTTCAGTGTCTTTACTTAACCCATCATGCCTCTCGAGGTTCTCTTGCAAAGCCTTAATCCCATTCTGCCTTACATGTCACTGTTCTTATATTTATTCCTGTTTTATTTTTCTTATTATACTATTGCTATTCTCCATAATAGTGCTTCAAAACTATAGAAGAGTGACTAAGAACATGGGCTTTGTTGGAATCTTACTTGGCTAAGTATGGAGCTATTTGACCTTGGGCAAGTTCCATCACCTTGGTTTCCTTATCTGTGAAATGAAATTTAGAACCTACCTCAAAGATTTACAAAATGATTAAATAGGTTAAAACAAAACTCATTTAACACCATATCTATTATATGATAAAGTGTACTGGTCACTATTCTTATAACATATATAGAAAGAAAATTCTCATAATTAGACATAGCAGTAAATTCAAATACCATACATAAAATGCCATGCAAGGGGCTTTTGGAAGGAATATCTGCTTTTTCATTAAATACCTAATTATTTATGCAAAAGCACAGCACAACAAAATATATGTAGGTGTTACTACCTAACTGGCTTAGGGTTCACTTTCAGTCCTTCTAATCAGAATCAGGTGAAACTTTGAACCACAAGTTGCTGGAGAGAAGTTCCTCTGGGTTCTCTCCTGTTGCCCCTGGTTACATGTTCCACTGTGATCTGCTTTGGAACCTCGCCGTCACATCTGTCAGTGTTTTCCATGTCAAGCTCCCCTGGGAGAGAGCCAGCAACTAATAATCCCCATCTTAACTCCTGTGCAGGATACACCTGTAATCCTCACAAGAACTGGTGGGCTAGGTAATTATTTCTTCCCAGTTTTCTATGGATTACTATTTCTGAATCAAAACTCATCAAATGCAGTTTTTAAAATATGAGTGTGTTATGGAATACAAAGAAGAATATGATTAATGGAAAAGAAGAACAATTAATCTGGGTTATTTGGAAACTATAGAGCACATGGTTTCTATAGTTATGGTGTCATACCATGGTATATAAAAGAGAGAGATACTTTGTGGAGGATTAATCAGGTACATTGATCTACAAATCTGCCAATGAGATTCAACACTTTTCTAAGAGTGTGTGAGTGTGTGTGTTTTCCTGTGTGTACAGCTTCTGGATGAAGACAAAACCAATGCAGAACAAAGAAAGATTACACACACATAAATCATTTGTACACGAACCGGTTCACTGGGAAGTAACTGTACAGCTGCTGACCAAACATCTTATTTCCAACTGCTTTAAAGGAAGTTTAATAGAAGTCCGTGGAAGAAAACATTTAAATCTCTTTAACACATTTTAGTTATAGCAAAGTGTTAAAATTTTAAACTTTTGGTTTGTTCAGGGGAATAACCTTATAAAATTAATCACAGTCTTCCATGTCCTTGAATTATCTTCTATAATTTTTACGTGCTTCTATATAATATGTTATAATCATTTAATTCCATATAATTTACAGTAATTGTTTTCAAATTAAGGACGTGCTGTATATAAAATAACAAATTTGTGTTTGTTAAGTATATAAAATAGGAACTATTATTCACATAAAAGCTAACTCATCACTTTACTCTTTTCCTTTATTTTAGTCCTTTTAATTACAAAAATAATACTGTGTCATAAAATCTCTAACTATACTTTCAAAGTACGAAGTGAAGTCCTTTCTCACCTCCTGCCATTCCCAGTGTCAAAGGGTAAACACTGTTTATAGTTGAAGTATGACCTTGCGGACCTTTTTCTACGCCCACGTAACCATAGATGCATTCTTATCAAAAGTGATTCTCATTCTTGGGGAATTAGAAGCATTGCTATTTGAAAAACATTTTGGTTTGATGATTTTAGTCTTTTTGCTAAAAGGAGCGATTTTCACAAATACAGATTATTTTGTAATATGCCAGCTTCCCAGGACTAGTCCCTTGATTTTCTGTATTTTGCAGTCTCCATGGATAGTTTGTGTATGAAAAGTGCAGTATTCAGGGAAAATGGAAAATCAGCCCGTGTCAACTAATGTAATAAAACTGAGTTAATCCCAAATTGACAATTTAAATCCTTTTAAAATTACTTGTCGAAATCAAGAAACAATCCACTCAATCTGTCATTTCTTTTAAGCTTATTAGTAGTAGAGTTTCTTAGGTGACTCTTTAAATCATATGTATGTAAGGTTCTCAAGTTGATACTGAGATTTCCTGTCGCTAGGAGAAGCTAACACTTCTTTAGTGCTGGATACTGTAAGTCACCGTGCTTACTGGAGGCCATGGAGGTATGCAAATGGCCAATTGGTGCTTTTTAGATCGAATTTGCCCTGTTTCTGTGGCCTTTCTGCTCTGATATACTTGTCACCAGAAGAAATATGCACAGAGGGTAGAGATTATGCATCAAGCATCAGGATTCTTTCATGTAAAATTTTCCCCTCCAATTTAATGTGAAAATACAGTTAGCAAAATATGTAAGAAAATGTGGATCTCCGCAAATCCTTTGTGAAGGAAAGCAATGTAAAAATCAAATATATATATATCACAAAACCCAAAGGTTTTATTTCAGGTAATAGCTGTGAGTGAGAAAATTAATATATTCCTAAGAATAGTTTAATCATATATCTCTCTTTTAGACTTTTTTTTTTAATGCTCTAAAAATTCTGTTTTCAAATTTGAATTTGTCAATGTTATGACATGTTTTCCCCCCTGAAGATAATTTACTACAGGATTTTTCTGTAGCTGAGACTATAGTTTTTCACCAGGCTGCTAGCCCCACAGACTCCATGGTCTCTCCGAGGCCTTGGACATCTGTTAGGCAGCTGCCATTGACTGTGCTGAGTGCAGTGCTGTAGTCCAGGGCAGAAGTCCTTCCTTTGTTGGTGGTGGTGCTGGGCAGGGGTGGTGTCAGAAAGACTTCCCAGCAGAGACGGCTCCTTAAGTGATACCTGAGAATATTTGCTCATTAGTCAGGCAAAGAGCAATGGTCCTAGGAGATCAGTGGCCAAGGATCAAGGGATCTACAGAAGCCCGCTAGTGAGAGACTGGGACAAAGTCAAGTAACCGGTGGAAGTTCAGTGTGGCTGCATAGAATAATTATAAACATTTATTATGATAATATTATGTTTATTATATATAAAACTTTAAAAAGTCAGGAAATGAGAAAGCATATGATCCCTAATTTCAAGCTACAGAGTTTACTGTGAACATATTGTTCTGATTGTCATGCCTTACATTTGTATTTGTAGAACAGCATGTTTGGTATAGTCCACATTTGGCTTGAACAATAGATATGTATGTAGGCATGAAATGCATATACATATATGAAAACATTTTAAGTAAAACTGGGATCATGGCAAACATGCTGTTTGTGACCTTTTTTTTTAACTTGCTATTGTCACATTACAATAGATTTATTTTAATGCCCTTGGATGCAATTGTATTTTAAGTTGGAATGTTTCATTTCTGTAAATGAAAAAAAGATATCTTCTTGAAGTTAACCATCTGTATTCATATCTGCAGGAAGAATGCTTTCTGAACCTGGAGGCTCCTATATCCAGAGTATGTGGCTATGACACACCCTTTCCTCACATTTTTGAGCCATTCTATATCCCAGACAAATGGAAATGCTATGATGCCCTTCGAAAGATGATCAATTATTGATCACAAGGTAAGTCAGCCCTGCATTTTGAGAAAGCTAGCATGTGCCCCCGACCATAATATTCTGTTGCCTAAATATCAGTGGCCATCATTGTGTTGTGTTTTGGTAAATGGCAAATACCAGAACAAAATGTGGATTTAAAAAAAAATTAAATCCATAGTATATTTGCATTTAATGGAGACATAGTAAGCATGTGTATTGTCTGATTTCTCTAAAACAGATGCTTGCATTTGTTAACATTGAATAGTCACTAGATGAGGGTTCTCTGCCATGGTTTAATTGCAAAAACATCCTGTATTCTAATTTTTACCCTCATTTCTATTATATTTTTATTAGCTATTTAGATTTTTCACCAATAGGGGTAATTTCTGTTATTTTAAAATGGCCCTTTAAGCATCATCAATTTGGTCTCTAGTGATTTGGACTCTGGTGATCCATATATAACATTCTGAAATTTGCCTTTATATTACTTGAAAAAATAACTTTGTTGAACAGGAAACCTACAAATTGTCTATAAGGTAAATTTTTACTTAAAAAAACACACAATAAAATATTCAGCACAATGACCATAACAAGGATTTTTTTGCCAAGTGGATGTTTTTACATTGTGGATAGTAAATGATATTTATTCACTATGATTTTTCTAAGTTGTGCTTATATGCTTCTTCATCATGTTAGTCTAGCAACAAGGAATACCATTAAACACCGCTAAGTGAGTTTTTAGTACTATAGAAGTTGCTGTCACTGTGACATGCTGATTTATTTTGTCTTTGGCAATTTTGAAATTATTCAAAAATGCGTAGGAAGGAATTAAATGCTGTAATAACACAGCCATACTTTTTAAAGATAAGAAATACTATATTCCTGCCTCCTGTGAATGGGTAGTAAAGCTAGCTCTCCTGAACCAGAGAGAGAAACCTTAATTTGTGCAGATAGAGAAAATAATGTCCTCCTCCTTTCTCACTGATCTCCACACCAAAGTGTTTGGAGTTCTATTCTGAGAATACTATTAAGCTAGGTTCATTAGTCCACATATCCCTGGCATCTCTCAGACATGCAGAGGTGGATGCTTTATTTCTGATGTCCTCTTAATGTCTGTGAAAGTATTAGCTGGCTTCTAGAGCACATAGCATGAAGACTGGTTAGGAGACTCCCTCATTTTGTTGTCCATCTTGTTCCCTCCTATAGACCATCATAATGGAGAGTCAAGGTAGCCTTATATATGCCTTGTAGCCATTTTGAAGGTAATACTTAGGTGGTGGTATTAAGTTTGGGTATGTATTTCCTTTTAAACAACAAAAGATATTAGCCTATTATGAAAATATGATAAAAGATGCATAAAGTTTTCTAATCTAAAAGTTAAATATGGCATTAAAGAAAGTAATTATGCAATTAAGAAAATTTTTTATTGTAATTCACAGTAGCCCATATGTCTATAATTGTTATTGATTTCTTTTACAGAAAAACTGGAAGATTGTGACTAGATACGGAAATATTTTTCTGAATTTTTTTATATTTTCTCAGATTTATCTCTCCTTGAAAATAGAATTTTTATGAAATGAAATGGATGGATATTGGCTAAAAATTTGAATTAGTTATTGTATTAACACACATGAATTTATTTCCATTAAGAGTGTTTTAGATTAACTTTTTTAAATGTTTATATGATAGTCATAAATTCCACTTATTTACATCTGTAAATATTGGGTATGGGGGAAAATATTCAATAAAGCAAAATCAGATTGGTCTTCAGGTTGTGTGTCTTTTTTTTTCATTAGTAATAAGAATTTTTGTTGCAGATGAAGGGAACCAAAATTCTGCTGCCCTGAAATTGCTCTTTTAAGAAATTGGTTTTAAGCTGCTTATTAAGAAATAAGACTCAGGGAGCCTTTGGCCCTCCCCATCCTCCTTCCTCCGGCCTCAGAGATTCAGACAGAGAAACCTGCTTCAGGAAGCCTTGGGATGTTCCCGTAGCCTGCCTTGAATTGATATGGTAAACAAGAAGGATTCAGCCAGGTGCCTGTTAGCTGGATACCCTGTGTCCCGTTGTTTCTGTGTTGTCTAGCAAGGATTTTTCTGCCACGTATGTTCCCCACTTCCTCAGCTACCTGCAGATTGCTCTTTGTCTCTTCTGAAATCTAAGACCCAGTTCCTCCCTTTTTTCCTTTGTCCAAAAATGTTTTACATACCCAATGTTACCTCACTGTCTTTGAAATTTTTATGGAATCTTCGTGCCTATGTGAATTTTCCATGCATGTGTATTAAAACTTTGATTTTTTTCTCCTTTAATCTGTTTCTCTTCACTCGATTATTAGCCCAGCCAGATGAACTTATAAGATGGGAGGGAAAGTATTAATATTTTTTTTTAGCCCTCATACAGACTAATTGTTAACCTGCTAATTAGATCTGAGTAAAATGAAATGTTTGGAAATGCTGACCTTTCAACTTTAGTTTTTTTTGTTTTTTTACGGCTAAGATGGATGTTTGTATATTGATAACACTTCTGGGATGTTTTTCCTCATCTTCCCTCTTGCCTCACAAGGCCCTGATGGGCGTGCTCACTCTTCCCCCAGCATGGAGGTAGGATCAGCCATGCTGCCCCTCTTCACGGAAAGCATGTGCCTGTCTTAGTTATAAAGGAGCCAAGCTTTGGCTGTAGTTGTATTTTTTTGTCATGATGTTACAAAGTAAATATTTCCCCCCTGTTCTTTATATTATTACTAGAGGCCCAGGCTGAGGCATGAGGTTCCTCAGCCCGGCCTGCACCCTCTGGCAGTCCAGGACCCCTCCAGGGGTGTCCACCCGCCTGCTCCTGCTCCTTAGTGCTCCCTCTGCTGCGTTCGCCAGCCGTGAGCCTGGCTTCTGGCTGAGCAGAACTCGCCCTGTGGTGCACTGACCACAGGGGTAGCTCCTGTGTTGAGTGTCTGCTGCCTGCTGGTCAGTGTGCATCATAGCGACCAGTCATTCCTATTGTCATTCCACCATCTGGTCAATTTGTGTATGAGGCTTTTATTATATAGTGTCTAGCTGAAAAGAAAAACATTAGCAACAGCAAAAGGCCCAAATTGGAGGAGGAAGCCTTCTTGTTGGGGACTTTGCCAGGACCTCTTTATCTGCTTTTGCCTCTTCTGCCTTTCTTCACAGTTTTAGACAGGCCTGACCTGCCAAGGAGTCCCTTTGTAAAATCCTCAGCCTTGACCCTGTCCTCAGGGGTGTGCTGTTATCTGGCCCCCCTACCATCAGCTTAGCAGAAAGTTCCACCCTCCCAAACAGCAGAGAAACAGGGTGATAGAGTGTTTTCTTGCTCTATAAACATTGAAAAAAGTGGACATTTTCTTAGACTTACAGATGTATATGTCATATTAAAACTGCAATTTTAAAAGTGTCCTATTTATTTTTATCAGAAATTTGGAGGAGAATACGAAAGTAACATTTATCAATTGCCACAAATTTGGAGATAAAGGAAAGGCACTTAAATGCAGATTCCAGATAGCAGTGGGCTGAAATGAAGAACCAAAGCATTTGTTAGGGGTAAAAATGCAGGCCTGCCCTTGTTTTAAAAATAGGAACACCTATGTGGTGTAGGGTGGGAAAGATGTACTTGTCAGCAACACGTTGGGGAAGGATTTAGGGAATCCAGTTGGCTTGCTGTTCAGGGCTTTCTGAGTATAAGGCGCCAGAACTCAGTATGGACTTTGGCTTTGGTCTCTGTTCCCTCGGAAGGCTCAGGTGCCCTCGCTGGGAAGTTCGCACTCATACGGTCAGCCCACAGAGCAGAAAATGTGCAGTAGTCAGCCACATCTCGGCCTACAGTGGGTTCTGTTTGAACATTTGTTTTAGTTGAACTTATTTTTTTTAGTGGCTATTATTTATGAGTTTAGTTAAAGTTTTGTTGCCATTGATAATTGTTTAATACTTTTTAAAAAAAAACTTACTTGGTATTGTACAATTTTCCTGTAGATATTTCAATGTTATTTTAGTGTTGTTTTTGAAATAGCAAGCATGAGACAACTGTGGGGATCATCTTTGTAGTAACTGCCTGAGCTTGAAAGCATTTTCCCCTCCATTTAGCCCCACAGTCCCCAGCAGTAAATACTCCTCTTCTGGTTAATTCTGAGCTCAGTCTGCACAAGATGTGCATATGCATCTAAGAAATTGTTTAAAATACATGTATTTACTTGAAACAAATGTTCCTTATTGTGAAAATAAGAAAATGTCTGACATGTCTTCTTCTGATGAGAGATTTTCTTATTTTCACAATAAGGAACATTTGTTTCAAGTAAATACATGTATTTTAAACAATTTCTGATGAGAAGAAGACACATCAGAGATGTTAAATGAACGCCAAAGCCAGAATCGCCCACTCTTGGTCTGTGCTGAGTAATAAGTCTGCTTCCTGTGACAACGTGGATATATAAGTGAATATAATCTTCTGTAGCTCAAAGTTATGCAGTTTTGTTTGGGAAAAAATGTAACATTTACATTCTGTACAACTGATAGATATCCACCCAGAGTAAACAGACCTGTGTACATTAGCAAAAGAAATGCACAAGGTCCAGAAATGACCTCAGTCCAGTCCCTCAGGGTTAAGTCACATAATCTACAAAGTCTTGTTGGGAATCCCGTAGACATTCCATTGGTTTAGTGAAAGCCCTTTCCCATCAGCCTGCTTGTGGTGGACACGTGTGGTCTCTGGCTGCCTGGCATCCCTGCCCCCACCTTCTAGTAACAGCGCTGCTGTTTGTTTGGAGAACCCCCTCTCCCCACTGCATGTAGCTCTGGAGGGGCTGCCAACCCCAGTGCCGACCAGCACTGGCCACAGGGATGGCCCTGGCCCAGGCTCCAGCGGGAACCTCAAAATAGAAAGTCAGGTGAAGACCCAAGATGCAGGCTCAGTGTTGTCAACAACACTGAATTCTACAAGAGTGGGCCTCAAACCTTACCTGTTCTAAGGTCACCTGAGAATACAACTGATAGGTATGAACCAGCTAGTCACACAATT